AATCCTTTTAGGATTATTCTAGTCTAGAGGTCTCTTCTATACACCAAAAATATGAGCTCAAAAGCGGTTAATCACTTCGGGTACTTCCCTCGTGAGTTGATTTTTGTTTTCTTACCTGTATTTTTTTTATCTAGTGGTACTGAAAAATAATCTACATAAGGCATTAATCGATCATTGATCCATTCTCGAAATGGAGCATTATCATTAAGTAAAACTAGAAAAATAATATTTTAAATGTAATCAAAAAAAAAAAAGAAGACAAATAAATAAATATGTACTAAGTTTATTCGTTCGATTATATAATGTTGAATAAGGAATTTTTGGTCCATAACATTCAAGTACATAATAACTACCATTTCCACGACTAAATTTAGCATTAGCATAACCACATGATTGATTACCATCATGACATGATAAACATTCGGCATCAATTTGATCATTCGCATAGTTCCATCTTAATTTATTCAATAAAGAAAAAAATCAAAAAGTTTGTTTGTTTGTTTGTTTGTTTTTAATTCGTTCTGTTTCTCTTACCGATAAACTTGTCGTTCTAATGAATTATTTTGACGTGAAGCAGTAAAATATACTTGTTTAAATTTATCAACATAAATTATTTCATCAACACATATATCTGATGATAATGTTGCATCAATTTGTGGATGCTTAAAAACAAAACACAAACAAGATACTTAAAGTTTTGTTTTTAACTAACGAAAAGTTTCCAAGTGATACAATCACCTTCGATTTGGAACTATATTCAATCTATAGGACCTAGTGAATAGACAGATAAGCTAGAGTGGTTTTAGTTACTGAGATTTCGAATTTTTAGTAGACTTTTCTTGTATGACTCTAGATTTCAAGCGAAATTATATTTTTGAATTGACATGAAACTTTGCTCACATAAAAGTAGCGATTAGACTAACTTGTAGAAAACATTTCAGAACTTTTTGATCAAGTATCTCCAAGATATGAATCTTTCAAAATATCCATATTTGTTTACAATAATCATGGCAAGACACTTCCATTTTTAAAAAATTCATATCTCGGAGAGATTTAGTGGAAAATTTCTGAAATTTTTTCTATGTGATAGTCTAATCAGTATCTTTATGTAGGCTAAGTTTCAAAGCAAAACTCGAAAAAGTATAATTTCGCTTGAAAATTACGATCCTACAAGAAAAAAAGAATCCACTAAAAATTTGATATCTCAGCAACAATTCGAATCACTTTACAGTATTAAATTATTTACTAGGTCCTATCGATTGAATAAAGTTCCAGATCGAAAGCGATTTATCACTTAAGAATCTTCTCTCGTAAGAAAAATTCTAACATACTGTTTGATTAAAATGTATTCGAACAATATATGGATAAGCTTTTTGTGTTATTTTATCAATATTTAATGGATCAAATCGTATAATAAAACCATATGTACCCATAGGTGAAAAAAATGGTTTAAGAAAACGTGTTAATAAAGCACCTTTTCGTGTTTCTTCAATATAACGTGATTTAAACATAATTTTATCATTATCAGTATTTATTGTTTGAATTTCATATAATTGTATTATACTGGAATTTTGTGCACGATTACCATATACAACTGATAAACATGTATCACAATACCAAACAACATGATAAATATATAGATCAGATTTTCTAAAAATAGAAAAATAAGAATAAAAAAGAAAACAAAGAAAAGCGTTTCTTTTTATTACAGTTTTTCATATTCTTTTGGACGTGGTACACGTATAGTTTTTCCTGATCGAATATTATAGATGTAAACATCAAGTAATGGAAGTGTTTCACCAAATTTTGGATATGGGATTGAATATCGATCATTATTATCAATTGATAAATCATATTTAAGAAAATTAGTTTTTGGAACATCTTGTAAATCTATTTTAATAAATGCCAAATAACGATCATTTGGTGACCAGAATAGAAGAACATTTTGATGGAAAATTTCATCTAAAAATATAAGTAAATAAATAATTGAATTCAACTATGGATTTTTTTTGCTACGATTACATCTCTTATGTAACGAACTCTTTGAGATAATCTTGATTATAGTAAAGTTTTATGATTGGTTGTGTATATTTCTTATTAATTATTGCTTTTAAAGTTATATGAGAAAGACTATAACAGATTATATCTTTAATTCAGTTGTATTGTTTAGATTTCCATTTTAAAGAGATATTTTATTATTTACTAATTGGCTTCTAGTATGTGTTTGACGAAGGAAATTCTACAACTGATTAATCAATTTTAAATCGAAACTATATACGTTAAGTAGATTCTAATGACCAATAAATATCTTGAAAAGAGCACGAACCCTTAGTTTATTACCACAATTTTCGATTAGACAGGGCTTCTCCAAAATGTTCGATTTTCTGCCGAATTTCTCAATACTTTCTGCCAATTTGTTACAGTTCCGTGATAACTTTGGACAGAAACCAGATTTTTAAACACTATTTGTTTTTCTCTGATAGACAGAAAAATAAAAATAAGCAGACAATGTTGTTGCAACGTGAATAGGAGTGACACAGGCCTCAGTGGAAAGACGACCTGATAACACGTCGTTTGTTATGGAGAGGGGTCAGGTCAGAGTGGATTCTGTTCTTTCCTTCACGGTCATCATTTTTAGCACTTCGAAGATGAAAGTACTTTCTGCCGATATTTTCGGTCTTCTAGTCCTAAAAAAAATTGATAACCTTACTTATAACTGCAGAAGTAATGCATTTTGAACAGTATTTCTTAATACAATGTGGTGATATCCGTCAGGAAAACAAATTTTGGAATTTTGACTTGAAACTTCGCACAGCAACGGACTTTAACAAAGATAGTTTATTGTGAAAACTTCAAATTATTCAATTTGCTCCTATCTTTATATAAGAACAGTGAATCTGCCGATGTATATGAGCAATGTAACAGACATGTTTTTATCGTAGCCGTATCTTAAGAGAGGAAGAACAAAAAGATCTGAAATTCTTTCACAATAAGCTATTCTCATTACGGTCTGTCTCTGTGCAAAGTTTAAAATGGAAATTCGAAAATCAGTTCTCCTCAGAGGGCCCATGAACATCGATTTAAAAGCTATTTTAAAAATGCTGTAACTTCTTAACATTAAGTTAAGGATCCGAACTCTGTTGAGGGCATACATAGCTTATTAGGAATCTAAATGATGCACATAGTCCTAACTCAAAGGCAAATAATTAGTTGAAGGATTTTTCTTGTGAGTTTAACATCAGTAAATATTTCCTATGATTTGTTTAATTTAGGTAAGACCTATTGTTTTTATGTTGAGATATAAAATCTCAAGTATTCTTTTCTTTTTTCTATAGATAATGATCTCAAATCAATTGTATGTTATAGAAAACTAAAACTCATATGAGTTTTATATTGTTATAAATAACAAAGAACATTATATTAGAAATTTTCTAGTAGAAAATCTTAATTATTCAAAGTAATACAAAAAAAAGATATATTAAAATATCCGACAATTTTCATTTTAATGAAATACTATAAAATAAAGTTAATTATCTCTTATTAAATGAAACGTCTAATATATTTCGTTACATATGATTTTTCTTTCTCAATAAAAATTATATTCCAATGTTTAGACAAACTGTCATCTAAAATTATCGATGATTGACATAATATCATATTTTACGTCAGTACGAAAAAAAACAAATATCTTTTTTTCTCTTTTGTTCTCGTTAATAAGAAAAATCTTACATTCATAAATCCATTCGATAAGACCATTATGAATTTTTTCTCGATTTCCATCTAATGTTACTCTACTACTTGTTGTACGTGCAATATCATATACATAAACATCAAAATTATGAATAAAAGCCTAGACAATAATAAATAATTTTATTTTTATTTATTAAGCTTGAATAGACTTACAAAATAATTATCCGAATTTGAATATAAAACAGCTGATAAAGGTACAAATTGACCATCAGAAACTCCTATTGGTGCAATTTTTTTTGATTTTTCATATAAAACATAATGATATTCAGTATAATATCGATGATTCTAATCATTAACAAAAAAAAAACAAGATTGTAAAATTTCGATAAAAAAAAATCATTTCTTTATTTCTTTTGTTTGTTTTACTTTGGTTTTTCTTTTTGGTACAAGAATATAACGTGCTGATGGTGAAACAATTCCATCACCAATACTTTCTTGTTGAATAACATTTCTTTTAAACAATAATTCTTCTTTTAATGTATCACAGTTATAAATCCAAATTGAATCATTTGTATCCATAAAAGAAAAATATGTATCCGATATCCATGTACCATTCCATCTAGTTTAATTATTACATATATATATATATTTATTTATTTATTTATTTATATATCAATTATTAAACAACAAAACAAACTTACGGTTTGGGTATTTTAATATTAAATATATCTTGTTCGCTTAATGGAATAAGAGGATCAGGAGGCGGAGTTGGACCTATAGAAGTATTATTTGTTCTTTTTATTTTTTATTTATATTAAATAAATTTTTTAAAACTTACGATCTCTGGTTACAACAATAGCTGCGGCAATAAGTAAACAAATGATAGCAATGACAACAAATGCAATTCCTAAACCTTTCCAATTTTGTTTTTTACTGGTACCACCAACCAATTCCTTTAAAAAAAGGAAAGACAAAAACAAAGAATAAAATCATCTATTTAATAAATTTTATTGAAGTGTTCTTAGTGTTTATATATATATAGATAAACTCTTGATTGTTATCTAAATAGCTCACCACACAAAACGAACAACATTGACAAAAATTCGTATCATCTCCTTCTGATTCGATCTGTTGCTGTTGTGATGTGAACATCAAGAATTTCTTATTGTAAGAAAATTAATAACAATAATAATAATACGGCTAAGAAATAGCAGAAAAAATAAGAAAACCGAGGAAAACAAAAAGAGAAAATCGATTGGAACTGAAAATGAATATGCAACTATTGGCGGAAGTCATTCGACAACAGAAATAAGAGAAAGAAAATGACGTTCATTAGACTGTCTTTGAAAATGGACAGAAATAAAAGGAAAAACCAGAAAAGCCTTATGGAAATTAATAAAAATCTGTTTCTTATCATTTCTTTACAAAGGACAAATAAAAGGGAATGTTTTCTTATGATTATATATACATTTTCTATTTTGATCCTGAAAATGATGATATCATGTTTTGCTAAATAACAACACAAATATGATAATAAAGTGTTGAATGACATTAGAGACGATCAAGTTCCGCTTTTCTTCTTCTATGATTATTTCTTGTTCGGATATATTAACAATTCTATAGAGTACTTTGATTAGTGAATCGATATGTTCTTTTTTTTGTTTTATTAATAATAATAGTTTGTGACACAGCATGTGGAATCTTTATTAAGTCAACAGATATCTATCTTATATGTGATACATAATATGTATTTAACTATTTTTGTTTTTGTTTTTTTCTATACATTTGTTTTCTTTGATATTACTATTTAGATAAACAAATAAAATTATTTTGATATAAAGTGATTTTATTAAAATTAGTCAATTTAATGTAAATAAAATAAAACTCACTTTATAACGAACCATAGTAGCCATATCTTGATAAGAATACAGAAAATAATTTAGTATTTTAATATATGTGTGAACATTGAAATGAAATATATATATAATGCCGTTTTAAAAATAAATCATAGTCGAGAAGGATGCGTACATCGTCAATCGTCACCGTCGAAACGGAACGATGACGATGAAAAAAAAAAGAAAAGAATAAGATCAAAAAAAGACGATAAATAGGAAGAATAACATCGACGGCAAAAACCAACATCGGAAAGACGTGTAGATGCTTCTCTCACTTGTTTTATCTCTTACTCGTCATAATATTCATGCAAACCATCGGCATTTCATCCTTGACATGCGTGATGTTGTCACTTTTTTTTTTCTCTTCCTATTCTTCCTTTCTTAGACTTTTTGTCGTTCGTTGTATTAGAATCCTAACTATAGTCAAGTTTTCCTTCTTTCTTGTGTTTCTTTATTGCACACATATAGATCTAGGCTGATGGTTCTTAGTTATGTGTTGCATTGATGATAGAGAAGACAGAAAGAGGGGAGAGAGAGAACACGAAAGACACACACGCACACACCATCGTCAGACGAGTGCTACTAGTACGTCATCGAATATGGTTGAATATAAAATAAGTGCTTGGCTCGTCTTGATTTGACTCGTATTCAACCAGCAGCTGCTGACGATTCTTACCACTGATGAGAGAAGAGGAAAAGAGAAAGAGGATCAGAACAAGACAACTTATTGGAAGTGGCGCATAACAAAAAAAAAAAAGAAACGGTTTTAGCTATTTTTCTTTCTCTCAAGTTGTCAAACAAAAAAAGGAGTTTCCAAGACATTTTTTCCGTCAGATGTTCTGTGATCGATGAGCTTACATTTGATAGACATCAACACTCTGGCGTTCAAATGCTTCCTCAAGTTTCCTTTTCTAGTTGTTCGAGTATTAAAATAAGAGAGAGGATCAGAATAAGAGTCAAAGAAAAAAAAAGAAACCGAGAAAAAGGTCGATATAATTGGTCTTGTTTATTTCGCAAGTTCATTTTGCATGCCTATTAGTCTTCTTCTTTAAATAGCTTACCGAAATAAATAATCGCAATAGGAAAAAATATTGAGAAAAAATAGAAGAAGTTAATTGTCTACTTGTTATTAGTTATATTGATGGGTTTCTTGTATTCTATGCCGTAAGTATAAGTACGGCTAAGATGAAAATCAAATAGTTTCATGCAATCAGTATTGAAAAAGACTTATTGAAGGAAAAATATATTGTGAGAAAAAGTTCATTTTGCTTGATTCGTTTACTTTTTATGGAAAAAGAAAAATATTTTCTTATAAAGAAAAAGAATTTTATTATTATATAATTAAGTTCGATTCGAAGAAATTTTCTCTTTTTAAATGAAGTTCTTTTACCTGCATATATTTTATTGATCGATATTGTCGAAAATGATGAATAATACTAATCATTGTTTCATTTCAAAACTTTGAATTTCTCATTATTTAAAGTATTTATTTTATTCCAAGAAAAAAAACTCTTGACAAAGTGAACTCCTACATACAACTATTTAATAATCATTTAAATATAAATATATATTTCTTTCTTTATCTATTTCCTTTTTTTTAATGACAAATTATAGGACTGTAGAAGAATTTTAAAACAATGTCAAACAAAGCATGATAAAAATCTAATTTTCTTTTTTATTGAAGATAAAAAAACAATTCTAATTTTTATTGACTTACCGTCATTAGACATATACCAGATAAAAATTCACGTATCCAACTAGGCATTTTTTAACATACATGAATATATATGTATATGCATATATATATATTATTTTCATTAATGAGATGAAATTTGTTATATTTCAATGTAATATAATATGATATATTAATCTTTGTAAAAGTTCTTTCAAATGTGTAGAAGTGAGAAGATTAATAGGATGAAAAGCGGAAAATGTATTAGTGACGTTTATATTCATCAAACACAGTAACATTTACATAGAGGGAAAAAAAAGTATATTATATTAATTGTATCATACAAATTTTTCTAATCAAACAAGTGTTATTTTAATAGTCGAAAGCAAAAGATGATTTATGAGTCTCGATTACACATATTTCATTTCACTTCTATTTGCTTTTAAAAAAAAATTTTCTCATTTACTTTTTATTTTTTTGTCATCTATTGAACATCCGGTATAAAATGTTCATTTAGAAGAAATCAACAGATTAGTTAGTATAAAAATGCTATTTAGATGTTCATAAAAAAAAGTTAGCATTTTTATTCAATTATTTGTGCGTTCCTTTGTTTTACCGAGTAAATATACAAAAAAGAAAACCTTGAAGGATATTTTCCTTTTCTTGTTTTCATCAACGCTTAATACAATCGATTTTGTTCTATTCAAAGAAAAAAAAAAGTGTTCGTTTAAACACAGTAAATAATGAAATCAGGTAATAGCATAATCAGATTGGCAGAACACAATCAAACAAAACAAAACTACAAACAAAGAATAATTAATAATCAGATACTATTTTTCTATATAACAAAAATCTTCCTAAACATGATTTATTAGTTGACTGAGAATAAAAATAGTTTATCAATTTGATTGAAATATTCAAAGTAAAATTTAGCTATTTTAATTAATGATTAATCATTTAATTATTATTTAATATAATCTATTTATGAAACAAATAAATAATGATATAATCGAATTACTTTTTTTTTTCTTAATATGAGTAATTTATTATTATTTTTCTTTGTACCATTAAAAAGATGACTTCTTCAAGAAATCCTTTTCCCATACTTTGTCTTTTCTTCTACTACACAACAGGTTTTTTTTTCTTTTTTTACTTATATTGAAAATTTCTTTTTTAAGTGACAGTTGAGAGGGTTAGACAATAAATCATTGAAATCGATATATAGAATTATTTAAACTCTTTATCTTACATTTTATAATCGAAACTATTGTTTCTGACATTATACACTATTTCCGATATGAAAAATCCTATAGTTTTAAGTTTTTTTTCTTATAGAATGAACATGACATGTTTCAATCTAACAACATCTCTGAACGACGTGGCTTGAAAGGACATAGATAAATGAATAATCTGTAGAAATACTAAATAGTTATGTTTATTTTTGACTGATCTTAATTGATATTTACTTGACATTATCTTTATTAATATTAGAATAGTCTATAACTTGGTTTACTGTACATGAGAAAGTTTCTGTTAATACGAATAGTTCAATTCGCAAAGAATCGTATGATTATTTCCATCACGAATATATTCTATCTAGAAAAATACAATCAATCAATCAATCTAACTAACATATATAATAAATAATCATTTGTATTCTTCTATTTTTCTCTACAATACATTAGACTGACTAACCATTTTACATCAAAAAGAACATTTTAAACTAGTAGATATTACTTATATTGATTATTGTTATTGCATTTTCGACAGCTTATGATTATCGTTTAATCGCAACGTTTAGAGTATTGCCTTTTTTTTTTGTATGTAGTCTATCACAATATGTTTTATCATTATAATGCTTATATTTATATGACGCAAAAGTTTAGAGCAACATGTTTGACTATATTTCAATGTTTATTGATAGATATTTGTTAGAGATTATATGAGAATTTGTTGATCTTTTCTACATTTGATTGATATAAAGTCATTACGCCATGAAAAAACATCTTACGAGACAAAGCCTACCAATGTCAATAAAGTTGTTCTTTTTTGCCCATATGTCAGCGTTAGTTGAGACTAGTAAAAGAGACTGAAAGAACAAGGACGCTTGGATCTTCTTTCTGAAGTTATGATTGCTTCATTGAATTTTCAGTATGTGAGAATGGTAACCATGAAGATATCTAATGATTGAATTTCGATCAAAATGAATATTGGTCGTCCTTGAAATATTGGAATTTTGAAAACTACTCATCTTTTATAAGACAGTCAGAAAAATTAAGTTTTTCTAGAGATTCAATAATTCGAACAAAACAGATTCATATTGTTTGAAATTTTCAAAATCTTCTAAGTGTTATTGGACATACATACTGGAAAAATTTCAGATTGAAATTCGATCATTAGATGTTTCCGTCAGTAGTGTGTTCACATGCTGAAAACTCATTAAAACAGCCATAGCTTTGAAAAGAAAGATCAAGGACTTTTGTCCTATCAGCCATCTATTAGTCTCATTAAAGTCTATTTATATGCGATAAAAACCTCAGCTAAATTTGCATTGGTCAACTGTGAACCTTCCGTTATTAGTGAGAGAAATATTTATTTAAAATAATTGTATTTTAAAATGTTACTATTTAACTGTTTTCAATAATAAAATCTTTAGGATTTTTTGTTGTTTTTTTCGATATAAATTTTCCAAAAAAAAAAACTATGCCTACCTAAAACGAACTGATCTATTTCTTCTGTATGATAATCTTTCATTAATAACATCTGTTCGAAATATTCTCTCATTTTTTGTTTATTATCTTATGTATTGTATAGACATTAAATCAAACAGAATATCCATAGAGGTAATGCTTATCTTTGCCATCCTGAACAGCTGTCTATATATTAACATCAATCATTCTAATGAAGGCAAACATTACAAAACATATATCCATTGATTTAGTTCCAATGAAAAAGACAAACAACAAAATTTGATATATTCAATATTTATCTTAGAAATTATCAAATATTTTTCTTTATAAAATAACCGATAATTTTTTCAATCATTAGTAAATCATTAAGTAATATATCATTTATAGAGGTATTGAAAGATATATATCAACACTTTCTATTTGTTGATAGAAAGATTATATCAATGAGTATTTTATTGAATTATTTATTTTTCGCATCTATTATCCACGAAACTCGATGGTTTTTCTAGCTTTCTATTAGGTTTGTTTTACGCATGCAGAATAAAATACATCGAAACTAAAAGTAATATTTTCTGTGTATTACCAACATACATCATACACATACATATATACATATATATATTCCCAATCAAATATCGGACTCAATTTCTAATTAAAATTTTTTTTACTATAACAAATCTTTGAAAATCTAATCATCTTAGTCGCTTATCCACTTAATCTAATTTTGGTATTCATATGAATTTAGATGAAGACACGAAAGGAACATTTTTTCTTTGCATGCATGCTAGAAAAGAACTTTAATCATATAGACAAGAATGTATTCTTATAGCATTTCATTGACTTCTGAGAAATATTTCTTGTTTTCTATCTTGTACTATAATTATAATTATAATTATAATAATAATTATAATAATCTTTTTTCTAAATTATTATAAATATCAAACTTTAATATTCTTTTGATGAATTATGAAATTCAACATGAAAGATTCTATCATGTTTTATTTTTATACATGATTGCTTATAAAAATTTCAATAAATTAGTTACATGTTTACGTTCGAATACTTCCAATGTGATTTTCAGTCAGAGATACGAATCAATGGATATAAAGAGTAATTGATTATAGTCCCTAATGAAATCTTTATCATCATGCTCTAAAGATTAACGAAATGAATCACTGTATTCAAAGAGGGAAAAAAAATGACTATCTCAATAAAACATTAAATAAGAGAAAAGGAAGCTTATATCGATATAAATAATTCATCGGAAGTGCATTTCGATAAATTCATGCTCTGTTAAATTAACCAACTAATTTACAATTCCGAATTCTACCATGAGGAAAAGATGTAAAAAAAAGAAAAAAAGAAAGAAAGAAAGAAAGAAAGAAAGAAAGTTCTATTTTTTTTCTATATGTCCCTTCGCTGAACATAGAATTAGTGCCGACAACTGGAAACATGCACACACGCACGAGACTTTAATAAGTTGTGCAAAAAAAATATGAACAGAGATTTATGAACAAACATGCAAATCATTAGCTCAAGTCGAAAAGAAAATCTCTCAGTGTCTTTAATTTTTAAGATAAATTATTACCTGTTCAGCCATAGCATTATTCTTTTCTTTCATCATATTGTCGTTGTCAATTGAAAATTATTTATGATAGATGCAAAAAAAATAATAATAATCGTAGACAATAATAATAATAATAATAATCTTGACAATGTTCGAGGGAATAAAAAAAACAAAAAAAACAAGCCAAGAATTATTGTATTGAGCGAGAGAAAAAACGAAGCATGTAGTGTTAATCAGTTCAACATCATCTTATTTATCTGTCGTCGTTGTTGTTATTACTGTTGTTCTTGTCAGTCTGGCGAAAAGTACAGTTGGTCTTAACAAACTATTTACAGTATCGACACTGTAGAAAAATCCAACGACAAAAAGTAATAGAAGAAAAGAAGAAATGACATTCGCTCGGAGAAAATCGATATCATCATATCCCAAACAAACATCCATCTATACTTGTATGCTGACAGAGAGACCGAGAGAGAGAGAAAGAAACCACTCGATGCAATGTCCTTAAAGGAATATATGAACAAATAACAAGAGATAGTAGATGAGTTTTCTTTTTTTTTTGGAAAGCAAAAGAGCGAGAATGAGATTTTCCCCTACTCTTTTTTATTCTTTGTTCTACTATCGACGACGAGAACGAGTGACGATGATTATTATCGGAAGAAAAATCCCATCATCACAGTCACATATATGAAAAACGAGATGTCTCTCTTTCTCTATTTGTTAGACTGATAGATTCCTCTTCTTTTCCTATAACTATCTATTTGTCTATGTATATATATATATATATATAGCTGCTTATTTTTACTTTTTTTTCTCTTATATACACCGTATGTATTTGTTTTTGCCATCTTTACATACTTTATAAGTCGTACCAACATCCATCCTTTGACTATTTGTGCTTGAATCATCATCATCCATTTTTTTTTATAGTTTTTAATAATAACAATAAAAAACAACTATGAAAAGAAAAGGAACGTAAGGTATCACGAGGGAAATTAATGGTGATCCAGAATATAAAGCTGACGCGCGTATAAATGTGAAATAATAAAACGAGAAGAAAAAAAAATCTGAGACTAACAAAATAAACTAGGCATGCACACACATCATTAAATATCAACAATAACATAGACATCATGTGTTGATGCTTCTTCATGTATTTGCATATTTGAATAAGTGATTGCCTTAATTTCAGTTCCTTGTGTATGTCGTGATAAATCAAATATTTCACCATAACCGCGAGCAATTATACGTAACTGATTGCGATCAAATAAGTTAATTTCAATTTTTCTTGCTATAAAATAATCTTCTGTACCATAAACTTCAAGCCATTCAGATAAAAATTTATATAATAAATTTTGTAAATCTCCTTCGGCTTGAATATCAATTTGTTTCATATCACGATTTTCAATACGATCAATATCAGTCATATATGCAAACATACCCATAGCTACCTAAAATATAAATACATGTCATTATGATTTCTTACAAGAAAATTATGTTTTCTTTGTATATGAATAAAATGAAAAAGAAAAACAAAAAGATTTTAAAATGTGTCATATTGATGAAAATTGTATTAGGTAGTACTTAACAAATATAAGAACTTGAGTATTTACAAAATTGCAAATAATTCAGCATTTTCTTTCATATCAAATGAAATATTTCTTTTCTAAGCATTATTTGAATCCGTACTCTTAGTACATAAGAGTTGTCAATGAGGAAATGAAATGTTAAGATGAACGGAAGTGGAAATCCTTTAAAAATGTTTTAGAATAAATAAAACAAAAAAAAGAACACTAAAGTATTTGCCTATTATCAATACGCATTATACGATGCTTTTCAAAATACACTTGAGAAAGGTCTTTTTTTCATTTGCTTTAATAAATTCTTTTATACAAACTTCAAATAAAATTTTTAAAAAAATTATCCCGTGGAAATAAAGAAGTTGCAGAATGAGAAATGAAATAAATTTTGTTCGTGTCAAAGAGAAATTTCCTATTCAAAATATTATAACAATGAACATAAATTCTTTTTGTTCTATGAAAATAATTAATTTTGATTTCAATGACTTTTCTTATCATTTCAGGAGAGAAGTTTCCAGCAAGAAAATCTTATTCTTTTCAAGTATATAATTCAATTATATATGAAGATCAATTTAAAAAAACCTGCTGAAAACTTCTTTTCATGTGAATTAGATAGAAAATGACTCATATATCCCTTTAAAAATGACATAGAATAACATATTCAACAAGTTCAGTTCAATCAGATCATATAGCTAATTTTACTCTTTAAAAATTATTGAAAAATTTTCATCATAAATTTAAAAAAACAGATAAAAATATAAATTTGATTCATTGAGAACATTATACAACACGTTGATTCTTTCATAAATGACAAAAATATAGACTTTATCATCATTTTCTAAATTCGTAGTCGAGAATTTTGATGTTTTTCTTTAGAATAAATGACTGTATTTTTTTCTCGGCAAGATTCTTTACTTCCTGTATTGCATATTCATTTAGTATAATTTAACAGAAATAAATAGTGTGGTTCATGTTAATTCGAAAGGAATTATAAGACATCACAGTAGGGACATGTAATTTTGAAAATACGATTAAAAACAATTGTCAAAAGGAAACAGCTGGAATTAAAATTCTTTGGTTTTGTCTCGTTTTCCAGAAAAAAGAATCAAACAAATGAAAAAAATCGAAAACATAACTTTTTTGTAGTTTTTATTGCAGATTTCATTCTCGAAATGTACAAATCGTCTTTTTTTGACAATTAGATTCTGCTTATAGATTTAAATTATAATAAAATACTTCAAATTAAGATAGAAAAACGTTGAAAACCATCTTTTTTATTTTAATTTGATAAAAAAAAATGGAAAGAAATCAGCTGCTTTCCCTTGAGATCTATATTGTTCTTTAGAATTGAGTTCCGCAAGGCAGTATCGAATAATCTCGTTTGTCATGACCCATAAAGCGATCGGCGTGGGAACATTTTCAAAAAATTACAGCACAAGACAAGCGAGATTATGGATAATACTTGAAAAAAATGTCTGAAATTTTTTTCTTCATCAATTGTTTTATTCTTTCTGCCGTTTATGTACAGCCCCTTGTTTAATTAAGCGCCAAATACTGTTATACCACAAATATAACCAGAATCCTTTCTCAAAACAACTCTTACATTTCTATAATCTTTTTTTCTAAATTCTTGGAAAATAGTTTTTTTTTCTAATTCAACATCAGAAACTGTATAGAAAATATTATTTTCTTAGATTTAAAATAAAACACGTAAAACATCGCTATCAATATACGTAGGTTTATAGCGTGTGTTTATAGACACTTTGATAAATCTATCTAGATTTTTTTGTGACAGAACATAAGATCAAATGTTTTATCTCATTTGAATGAGCCAGTTTCTAGCTAAAAAAATATACATTTTGTTTTTTTGTTGAAAAAATCGAACATTCTCTTGTTTCAATAGTAAAAGGACCAAAATCGGCGTTATTTATTGCAGTTTCTATTATCAAAGCTCAGTTGAAAAACAAAATAAACAGACTATTCAAAATCAGTGTGAAAATCTACATCAAGCCATATATATTTCAGCAGATTCTGTATCCAATGGAAAATTTATCACAGACAAAATTTCAAAATAAAAAAGCTGAGAGAAGTATAAGTGCGTTTTCCGTTGAAAAATGAGTTTGATGATAGAAATCGCATTAAATAAGGCCATTTTTGGTCCTTTTACTACTAAAACGAGAAAATATTCGATTTTTTCCAAAATGGAACAAAATGGGTACTTTTTTAAGCTCGAAACCAGTTCACTCGAATGAGATAAGGCATTTGGTTTTATCTTCTGTCACAAAAATAAACTGTCTATAAAGACATACTACAATCTTACATATATATATTGAAAGCAGTTTCTTACATTATTTGTTTTATACGTAAGAAAATAACATATTTCTATTCAGTTTTTGATGCTGAATTAGAAAAAAAAACCTATTTTTAAAGAGTTTAGACAAAAGATTATAAAAACTTAAGAGTTGTTTTAAGAAAAAATGTGATTTTGGTTATATCTATGGTCTTATCAGTATTTGAAGTTTTCTACAGCGAAGGAATAATTTAATTGAAATAAAACTCACAACAATTTTATGTTATGTGCATCTTACTTAAACTGCAGTTATACCTTCCATAAATCTCTTTTTTTTCTCACATTTCAGCTACAAGCAGATAAATGTCCTTTAATATTTGAAGATTTCGTTTGATATATAGCAAATTATTTATTTTAGCTGTAGTCAGATGTGTTCGTCGATCAATATTCTGTTGCCCATAATACATGTCAGAAAATAGGTGCTTTGTCTGATTACGATCTATATGAATACATTTTCTGTATGGATGGTAAACCTCACCAGAATAGAAGGCCACCAACAAGAACAATTTTACAAGACATAATATACGACTATGGTTTTCTCCGAACTGTTTTTCAGCAATCCAATAGATTCTTGGGAATTTTCAGCACTTAAAAACTCCGGTTTTGAGTAAAAAACCATTTTTCCTAGAAAAAAATCATGATTTTCTGGCAGTTACAATGGCGATGTTTGTGCTGATAGTTAATAAGACTAGGCATATTCGAGTCAAAATAAAGCTGTCATTGCAAAACAAACAAATGTAAAATATAGTCAGCCGTTGACATGCACAGATCGAAGTATTCGAATTTTAAGGTATTTACAGTATATGTAAGGTAATTGCAGTTCAAAATTTTAACAGAGTTTTCTTCGTGATCCTTGAATAGAGCTAATCGAGTTGCATAAGAAAAGTATGTTTCAAATTAAAAATAATTTTTTTTAATTTTTACAAAAGTTAGAATTTTTAATCTATTTTCTCTTATATTTGAAAATGATGGTATCTTGAAAGTTTTTCGTGAAATTTTTTTTTTATTCGAAATATATTTTCTTATGCAAATAGATAAGCTCTATTTAACTATCACGAAAAAAGAAAAACATTTGCTGAAATTTTCAATTGTGAGCATCTTACATATACTATAAATACCTTAAAATT